GGGGCGGGGAAGGTGGCAGACCAGAGGACTAGCTTCTCCCTACGAGCCCCGTGGGGCGGGGAAGGTGGCAGACCAGAAGACTAGCTTCTCCCTACGAGCCCCGTGGGGCGGGGAAGGTGGCAGACCAGAGGACTAGCTTCTCCCTACGAGCCCCGTGGGGCGGGGAAGGTGGCAGACCAGAGGACTAGCTTCTCCCTACGAGCCCCGTGAGGCCGGGGAAGGTGGCAGACCAGAGGACTAGCTTCTCCCTACGAGCCCCGTGAGGCCGGGGAAGGTGGCAGACCAGAGGACTAGCTTCTCCCTACGAGCCCCGTGAGGCCGGGGATTGAGACTACATTTTAGGGACAATGGTCCCAGAAAAAATAGAGGTACAATGTACCTCTTCCCATGGGAAGATATTTTGAATGTCAACGACACTTTCCCATAGGGGAGTCAAAGCCGGGTCACTAACTGCTGGAGACCCGGGTTACTAAATGCTACGAATCTCTAACAACAACAGTAAACACTTGGACTCGACGTTCCTTCTCGTCCTAAACCCTCCTTGTTCCTCTGAAATTCTACTTTCTGATTTACCCTTAATTCTTTCATTAATAATTCTAACATACACTTTACCCGGTGTACTTAACAGGATTATATTTCCCCGAGACTAGAGGCAAAAAAAGAAAACAAAGTATTAATAAAAACTGAAATAAAAAATTGAAACTGACTGGAAACCTCCAAGACCATACAATCACCAGACTGTTAAGAGAGATACCAAGAGAAAACTCAGGAATACTAAACTGAAAATTGAAAGACAAAGTGCTCATAACGCCGAAGATAACCCAAGGGAATTTTTCAAATACGTCAGGGTAAAAAAAAACACAAAAGCAACAAGGGACCTTAACAAAACAAACACGCAGGAACAGTCAACAACAACAACAGACATACGATTTCAGTATTGAGAGAAGCCTGTGTGTCAGTGTTTACAACTGAACACGACACCAACGTGTTTACAACTGAACACGACACCAACGTGTTTACAACTGAACACGACACCAACGTTGTCATACAGCAAGACTTGCTGACAGGGCCTCTGACACACAAAATATTAATGAAATTAGCAACCTTGACACGTTAAAATACTTAGATATGTTGATTATTAGCAAATAAGTAGACTAGATGAACTGGTGACTAGTGTTATTAAAGAATGTAGATCCCAAACTGTTTACCCAGTAACGGTAATACTTTAAAAGTTATTAGAAAGTTAGTTGCCAAAACACTAGACACTCAAATGTTGATGCCATCGACTATGTGACATCTGTCTGACATCAATTTTAGGTAAGCAAATGGAGATTAATATTAGGGAAAAGATAGTCAAATTTCTGGAAAATAAAAGTTTGACTTACCGTGTATATGTATCAACAAAATATCATGCCTGACTTACCTAGAATTTTTTCAGTTACATCTATAAAAACTGGTATTATATTTTTATTTCCAGAAATGCATTCAACATGGCACCTCACACAAGACTGATGGATAAAATTTAAGCAGGTGGTATACGAGATAAAAAATATATACCAAGATAATTGATTAGATTATCGAGAGCAAATGATGAAGGAATAATGTCTGAGAGGTTAAAGTGAAGGGATACTGAAGGGTTAGGTGTCCCAAAGGTTAGACTGAAGGGATACTGAAGGATTAGGTGTCCCAAAGGTTAGACTGAAGGGATACTGAAGGATTAGGTGTCCCAAAGGTTAGACTGAAGGGATACTGAAGGATTAGGTGTCCCAAAGGTTAGACTGAAGGGATACTGAAGGATTAGGTGTCCCAAAGGTTAGACTGAAGGGATACTGAAGGATTAGGTGTCCCAAAGGTTAGACTGAAGGGATACTGAAGAAATAAGTGTCTGAGTGGCACTATAAGTCAAGAATCTACCTTGACATGCGAACACAGAAAACCTCATTGATATGCCGTCCAGTTTTGGTCTTCAAATTACACAAAAGACAAAAATATACGGTAGAGAATATAGAAAACTCAGACTATGGTCAAGATCAAAACAAATGGAAAAAAGCAGTCGAATTTTGTCTGAGACAACGAGGTATTATACACGACATTAACACACTGAATATCTTCGACACACACACCTTGAAGTGAGGAACGACTCCATTATTTGAAAAATTGGAATCAGACGTCGAGGCAGAAGATGGAAATCGAATTCTTAGCGCCAGGGCAGTAAAGTTAGTCAAGAACTGGCTGGCCAGGGCAGTAAAGTTAGTCAAGAACTGGCTGGCCAGGGCAGTAAAGTTAGTCAAGAACTGGCTGGCCAGGGCAGTAAAGTTAGTCAAGAACTGGCTGGCCAGGGCAGTAAAGTCAGTCAAGAACTGGCTGGCCAGGGCAGTAAAGTCAGTCAAGAACTGGCTGGCCAGGGCAGTAAAGTCAGTCAAGAACTGGCTGGCCAGGGCAGTAAAGTTAGTCAAGAACTGGCTGGCCAGGGCAGTAAAGTCAGTCAAGAACTGGCTGG